TTCTGCTGTGTGCTTGAGACTTTATCACGTGCATTTTCACCCATTTGAAAACTGAGTTCATGCATGCACAGATGATGTTCCCCATAGAAAAGGTAGAACAGTTACTAGCTTGTCCCTGGTTCGGGTCCTTTCTATGCAGTTGTGGGCTTGTAGACTTGGGAGTCAATGTGAGCGAACATCTAACCCATTCTCTGTTCTCCAGTCCTGAAACGTGAAAGTCAGCTGGGGGTAGGTGCACAGCTACACAGAAGTCATGGAAGAAGTCTGCTTGAGTAGAATGTAGGTCTTCTGAGATCTAGCTGGGGGGAGAGCGGGGTTGGTGACATAAGCAGTCGCTGGGTGACAAACAGGATCTGTCCCGAACTGTGTCTTTAAGTCAGTTGGAAGGGTGCTTAGGGTTGGTTCTCTTAGCCTGACTTTAGTGCAAGAAAAGGCTGCAAGCCTTTCAGTGATGGAAACACTGCCCTTGTGCAAGCGAAGCTACAGGGTTGAAGCAATAGTTTGAAGTGGGGCTTGGTCCAGTCCAGTTCAAAGTGAGGGTAAATTTGCATAGCATGAGATTAGGAGGACTTTGAACCAATGTCAAAACAGCCTTGCCCAAGATGGCGGCATCTGTACTCTGCTCGAGGTTGGTGGCCAGCGTGCTGCTTTGAGTGAGTCTGGCTGTGGAAATCCAGTCTCTTGCATGCGTGCGTGCATCAGGCTCCCACGGGCTCGCCACAGCTCTTCTGAGTCTCCTGTTCCAGGGCTTCGACTAGTAAGCGCTCCCACTCGGTTACCATGCGAGTCACCCGGCTTGTGCAAATTCAGGTCTGTTCCCGTTTATGGCAGAACCTATTGGAAGCCCCACAGTAAAGGGCAATTAGGATTGTCTGTAATTCAGACGCCAGGAACCTGGGGACTGTCTGAAAATCTTGTTTGAATTATACATGGTCATGGTAATTAAAAAATTAGTTCTTGTGTCATATACTTTTACTAAAAGTCTTTCATTTTTAGTAGAGAAAGCACAGGAAACCATTCAAGAATGCTTTCGACCCTCTGTGAAGGTGGCCCTTCGCATTCACGCAGAAGAATTTTCTCCCTTTGCTGAGAGCATGGTTTCAGGGTTATAGGGTTGTCCAGTGGGAGGTGTGTTTATAGTAATGGAAACGGTGCTTCCTGCCTCCTGATAGGCATCTCCTAGAGGAAAAATGCGAGTTGAGTTGTGTGTATTTTACTGTCTCCCCGAGTTAAGTTGTGTGTATTTTTCTGTCTCCCCGAGTTAAGTTGTGTGTATTTTACTGTCTCCCATGGAATGATAGATCGGTTTTCAGACTGGCCTTTCTTGGCAAATGTCTGTCTTTGTCCTTGCATAGAGAATGGCGAGTTCTGCTGGCTTCCTTTGTTAGAAGTAGGGAGAAAGGGTCAGCTTCCCAGCAGTGACCCTGAGGGCCTCTCTCCTGAAGACTCTGAGAAATTGTGAAATGAAATGAAAACACAGAAATTGAAAGGGATTCTTGAAAACACATACACACACACACACACACACACACCTTAACACTGGATAGGAGAAGAAGGTTGTGTTAGTCCGCCCTGTTGCTCCTGAAGACTGAGCTTGCTAAGTGGGACCCCTCTGGAACAGGAAGGGGAGGGTCCTCTGAGAGATTCGTGCAGGAGGGATTACTTACTGTGTGACCTGAAGCCTGAGGTGGGGGGTGCTTGGCGGTGGGATGGGCGGCACTTGGAGGCAGTTGTGGAGCAGAAGGCTTGGAATGCCATCATGGATCTTTTCCAGGGTGATGTGGACAAGGCAGTGCAGGCTGCCCGGGCCGCCTTCCAGCTGGGTTCACCCTGGCGTCGGATGGATGCGTCTGAGAGGGGTCGTTTGCTGAACCGCTTGGCCGATCTGATTGAACGAGACCGGACCTACCTGGCCGTGAGTCAGTCCTCAGCCTTCTCCCTTGTAGTCTCCAGGATCTCTGATCACGGGGCAGGGGGTGGATGCCTTTGGGTTCTACCTCTGCAGTCAGCACACCTATTGACCAGGGACATCCATCGGCACAAAAGTGCCTCTCATCCAGGCTCCTAACAGCTTCCCAGTCTCTGTCTCAATGCCATTGGTCAACCCGTTGGCTTTGCTTCCTCCCCGAGCCACCAACCCTGTGCTGACCTCCTTTTGCTTTGCCCAGGCTTTGGAGACCCTGGACAATGGCAAGCCCTATGTCATCTCCTACCTGGTGGATTTGGACATGGTCATCAAATGTCTCCGGTAAGGGCTCAAGTTTCCTGTTATCCTTGTGTTATTGGTGCCAGAGGGGTGGGAGTGGTTCTGGGGGTGAAGATGGCTCACGGGGCTTAGAGACCAGCCTTCGTGTAGACTCTGATCGCTTTGGGAAAACCCTTCAAGATCAAAAATGGTAACTTAATCAGAAGCATTTTCTATTTCTTTGTGAACCAGTTGGG